GTGAGAAATAAACTTGGTGATAACTCGCAGTTCTGAGAAGAAAAATCTGAACTGTGAGATATAAACTCTCACAATTGCAAGAAAAAATTTGCAATTGGGAGAGAAAAAGTCACAGTTACCTTTTTTATTTTGTGAAGGAAGCAAAGAAAAACAGAACTTGCGAGAATTCAGAATTCAGAGGGAAAAATATCACAGAAAAAAAGTCAGAATTGCAAGATTGAATGAATTGAATTCTAAATGTATATCTTACAATTCAAACTTTTTTTCTAGCAATTCTGAAAGATATAAACTAAAATCACAAGATATAAATGCAGAACTGCGAGAAAAAAGTCTGTGAATTGTGAGATAAAAAAGGCAATTTTTATTATTCCGTGGCTAACAGGGCTTCCATACTTTTTATAATTTTTTATTTCCGTTTTGGTTACTTTAGTACATCAACTTAAACTGAGAAATAATTCCATGGCAACTAGCGGAAATAAAATAAGTTTAAGTTTTTTTTATATATATATATATATATATTTTATTTTAATGTTAATGTTTATTTTTTAAGTTTAAGTTATTTTTTATGGTTTAAGTTTTACACTCTTAAAAATAAAGGTTTCAAAAGTGAGTTTTCGCAGTGATGCCATAGAAGAACCATGTTTGGCTCCCTGAGAAACCTCTTTTTATTGTTAAGTACATTTTAATATTCTAAAAAAATTTTTTTATAAAATTTCCACTTCCACTAAAAAAAACAAAAAAACAACTTTTGAGCAATGGAAAAGTTCCATTGATGTTTAAAGTTCTTTATGGAACCATATAATGATGCCAATATAGCTTAAACCAGTTATTAAGAGTGTAGTTTTAGTTAACTAATACTGGCTGCTGATACCATCATGGATCATCCATAATTTTTAAGACTCGCCATTATAGGCTGAAGGCATATTTTGGCTAATGCAAGAAATATAGTGAATGATAACCATTTTTCCATTGCTTATGGGTTCAGATTGTGAGCTCATTACATCAGCACCTACCAAATGGCATTCCCTGACACTCACTGTCACAGTTTTTGCTGAGTCTGGGTTCTGATTGAAATCTGTCACGTCTTTGAGGCTGAACTTTCGTGGCATTTTGAGACTTTTGAGGCTTTGACCGCTGCCCTCATTGCCGATGCACTTTGTCTGAGCTCCTCTTGACACGTCGATTCATTTTGAAACGCTTTTTGTGAGAAACACTCACTGGCCTGATTTAGCATCAAGCCTCTGGCACAGGCAGATTTTAATCTTCCCTGTCAAAAACAAGAACTGGTATTTGAAGCTATGATTCCTTCAGAATAGCCTCTTCAGAATTATTCACACATAAAGAAAAAAATGCTGATGCTAGTTTTAAAATCGGGGACCCTATTGAGTCACATTACAATAGGAATTATTACGTTTTCAAACTTCTTGATACCAAGGACCTCTAAAATTGGTGATTCTTATGAAGGACCAGCATTTATGCTGTTAACTGTCACTGGTCAACCGGTGGACCCATTTGTTATTACATGTTTATAACAGTAATATCTAAACCTAAAGTAATCTTGACAAACTATGTATAATTTGAAAGCTTAAAGACTCTAGTTTTCATATTTGTTGGCTGTTTTTTAATGTTTTACAGAGCAACTGTAATTGATTCATTTGGCACAAGAGTACTCATCAGAGTCAGTGAGCGCGTTCTGACCTTTATTTTGAAATAGCGATGCACACATAAAAATGGTTAAAAAAAAACTTTTTTAAATGGTTACATTTTCATACCAATAGTTAAAAAATAACATCAATTCAATTTTTTTTTTTTCTTGAGAAAAAAAGGTTTTTAAAAATGTTTTGAATATAAATTCTGTGTTTGTGAGGCAGTGCGAACTAACACAAGTCCAGGATGTCATTTATGTGATTGTTGTGTCTTGTGGTCCATTGGATGATCTCATTCTGATGGTAAAAAATGTAAATGGCCATTCATTTAACTTAGTCTTTTAGAAATTACATCAGAAGGTTTCTGTAAGAACCTCTTAATCATTTTAAATTGCAATGACGGTCAAAGACTTAGTCATTAGCAGTAAGTGACATTCTGATTCAGACTCCATCAGTCCCGCTGAAGACGTCCTTCTGAAGAACCTTCTCTTACTGTTAATTACACATGAATTAATCGAGTATCCTTGCAGAAACTTCATTGATGATAATATGATAAAATAGTCACATTATAGCATCTCCTTGTGGCAGCCGAACCATCTGCTTATTGTCTCCACATGCAGCATTGTTTTGAATGCACTGAGTTAATCAATGTAGATCTGGTTTTGGTTGAAAAGGCTGCTCTTGGCTGAAAAGTGCTTAGCTTGGTCTTCTTTGGTGTAGGAGTTGGTTGGTCCTGCTTGCCAGGGTTTGATGGTCTAGCTAGTCTGCACCAATGTCTGGAACACTGGTCAGCAACATAAGATAAAGACTTAAGGTTTATGGGGTCAGAATCTGAAGGTGAGATTGAGATGAATTTCACCTGAACTGAATTTGGATGCCCTAAACCAGTGGTTATCAGACTTTGGTGTAAAACAACATTGGGCATTTATTACTATGTACTGTATTTAAATTGTCCATTCCCATTTTGAAGTCTTTTAACAACAACAACAACAATAGCAATTATTATTATTCTAATTAATTAATTATAATTATAATAATATTATTATTAATAATAATAATAATTCATTATATTTTACATTGGGTATTTATTTCTTTATTTTCTGTTTTCTAACACAGTGCACATTTCTTTACAATTTCTGCTGAGCTCGTGTATTGAGTACTGTATTTGTGATCATGTGTCTCCAGAGATTTCATACTGATGATCAGTTTCCATGGTTACTACACACGTTCACTGCTTTCAGATAATTACCCACATGTTAAATACGCAGTGGTAGTGGCAGCTCATTATGAGGGGACAGGGAAGCGGTGCATTGGTTTGAAAACATATACAGTAATGGCAAAGTGCAGTGACAGCTAGCTTTTGTATTCAAGGGTAGCTTCACACAACCTTGAACAGTTTGCATTTCATGGGCCATTTATAGAGGTTTGAGAGTCCCTTGAATAGTCTGACATGGAAAATACTATAAAAATACAAATTATTGCTTATTATTTGGCATTAGACTAAAATGTAAGGTTGAATTGAGCAAAGAAGAACTATCTTTGGGAGTAAAACATACTGTTAATTTACTGTGGTGTATGATATGACAACAGCCTCCACAGCGAGTGTGTGTGTAAATACAGATTAGCGTACACTATAGTGTCAGTTTACACATACAACCTCACGTGGGTGGTGTTATTTGACTGTGGGTTATTTGATTCCTTCTGTATGGAAACTGTAACTTCTGTCAACAGAAACAGATCTATCGGTGATCATGTTGTTAGTGTTGAGCTTTGGATGTTGAAGGCTTCTCTAGGCACATCCCTAGGGGTGCAGGTACAAGAAGGGTAAGAGTTTGCTTGGGTGGACTGATGAACTATGAAAGCACAATCAGGGATCTCTGCAGAAACAGAAAATCTTACATAACACCAGCAAATTATTGAGTTGGTTCAAAGAGTCTCTTAGAGTTTGGGATATGGATCCTAATACAGCTTCTGTACTTTGGGAGAAAGCATTATGGTCACCTAAAATACTTTATAAAAGAAAGTAGGATCACCTAAAATGCTAGTTTATGCTATAATACAGTGTTGCTTCATTATATAATTCTTGTGTTTTAGCAGGTGCTGTCGTCTTACAGTCTTCACTTAGGATCTGTCTGTGTGAAATGTCTCTAGGCTGTTGAGGGTGTCAAGAGAAAATCATCTTTCACTTTGAATCACTTGCTATGATACAGGCTAGTTTGTGATATTATTAGGCCTGCGCATGAATATATGATTATCGAGCTCTCACTGTCGTTCATTTGAAATGGTACCATGTGTCTGCAAAAGTCTAAAGTCTAGAAAATCAGAATTATCTACTGTTAAGAGACCAATAGAGTAATATTAGATAGTATGTAATACATGCAATGAAAATGGATGTTAGGAAAGATTTATATTTCAAATAAATGCTGTTCTTTTAAGCTTTCTAAAAAAAAGTATCACAATTTCCACAAAAATATTACGCAGCACTGTGTTCAACTTTAATAATAGTTAGAAATGGTTCTTGAGCAGCAAATCAGCATATTAGAATGATTTCTGAATCATTTGAAGACTGTAGTAATGTTGCTGAAAATAAAATTACATTTTAAAAATATAATAAGATTTTACTTTATTGTGAATAGCCTTGTAAATGAAAGAATCATCTATCATTACTTTAAGTATGTTATTGTGCTTCATAGAGTACTCAGATGCTTCAGTGCTAAGGATGCACTTTTTTCTCTTTATGGATAAACAGATTGAATCCTCCACCAGGCGCAGGCAGGGTAATTACTCCACTCGTTTATTCTGCGTGTGAATAGATGAAGGGCTATTAAGAGCCATTAAGAGCATTTATGAATGGATGGTGGGCTTGAGATGTGCTTATTTGATAGCACTGCAGTTCTTGAGAGACTCCAGACAGATTCCATTCAGAGTTTCTGTATTAATAATATTGCTTTTTCAAGTATTACCCCTTGGCACTTTAAAAGAGTTTCTTTGTTAAATGAGTAAACCGTGCTATTGATTTCCTTTTGGACGTTTCAGGAAATGTTTCACTTCTTTGGTGAGAGGCATTGTTTGGAAGTCAGTGGATTAGACATCTATCATGTCATTTGAGGGAGTTTTCAAATGGCTGAAAAACTCGTGTAATGCTCATCACTATTTCAGTTTCATCACTGAAAACTTTCACTGCACAGATTAGTAATAGTGCAATCCTATAGTGTTGTTTTACTGCAGTTTATATATCTAAGGGGAGCATTTTTACAGCGTCAAGTGATTTGATTGTCTGTTCACTGTTTTCTCAAAACCATAATAAAAAAAAGCTAATAAATCAGTAACTGATGTCATTTTGTTTGCTTGTAGGGGAGGACCGGCCGAGGGAGAACATCGTGGGCAACGCAGATGGACAGGCGATGGTGGGCGGAGCAGGGGTGGAGTCAGGGGCAGGGAGGCAGCGATTACACTGCTGTGTTCGAGTGACAGCCATCCAAGTGCGAAAAGCAATATGGGGCGTGGCCATGGTGATGTGTGTGTGCTCATCATGGGCAGGCTCCACCCAGCTGGCCAAGCTGACCTTCAAGCAGTACGACGCACCGTTCACTCTCACATGGTTCACAACCACGTGGAACTGCCTCTTCTTCCCTCTGTATTACATCGGCCACCTGTGCAAGAGTCCTGAGAGACAGACACCAAAACAGAGGTTTAGGTAAGAATGTGGTGAGATCCGTGAGATTGCGTTTATCCAGCAATGCACTCTGGGATTGCCTTCTTGGTGAAGACTATACAGCTTATTAGGTTCTGGAGCAGAGCGAAATATTAAAAAGTAGTACAACTGAAATATCCAACCGTTTTGTGTGAGTATCACAGACATCTGGAGAATCTGTTTCTACTGAGGGGGACACCGAGGAAATTCCATGCCGTAAAGCATGAACAGTTTGTCCTTTCCGGGTTTCTCCTTTTATCTTCTATGTGCTGAATACTAAGCAGGCTCATTGCTTATTTAAACTGAGTCGTTAAAGGAAAATACCCCTCTGCTCTGTCTAGTAAGACCAAAGTAAAGAGTGTTGGGAAGTAAAGCAATATACTGTTGATTCAAATGCTTCTTTTTATTTAATCATTTAGCAAATGCTTTTGTGTAAAATGCATAAAAGCCCAAGCAATTTATCACGCAGGAGAAAACAATATTAGCAGCACTGCAATACAGGATTTGAAGAGAAAACACCAGCTGTGGAGTACAAAGGCTGCAAAAATGGAGAAAAAAGAGAGCGAGAGATTTTTGGTTAAAATGAGGTGACTTTATTTATAGTTATGCGTTAATTAAATGATGAACTTTAGCCAACTCCATTTATCGAAAGTCTAATGTTATTAAAAATAGTAGAAGCGGATGTTTTTTTTTTGCATGTAGCCGCAGAGACCCATTTAACATTTTAGAGAATATCAGTGAAAAGTCAGAAAAGGTCCTGCTGCTGTAACCATAAACATGCTTTTTTTCTTTCTATGGGTATCAGCCAATATGCTGACTTTAAAAAGTGATGTCAACCAACCATGATGTGTTGTGCATTGTACAAAGACTTTGAATTGAAGTAAATGGACCTCTGAATGCCTATTCAAGTACAATG